TCAGTGGTAAAAAAAAAAAAAAAAAAAGCTGTATATATAAAAAATGTATTTAACTTTGCATCATAACCTATTTAAACATCTTGAAATTGGGCAAATTTCTTTAGGAACCTCCTACCGTTGTCGACACGCCCACTTCAGCACATTTTCAAACAATGCTTCTGGGCAGCGGTGCTCTGTGGGGCGGAGCTCAGCTGCAGACTGAGCTCCAGGGAGGAGCTTTGTACAAATGGGTGGTGCTTTGTACCAGCAAGCATTTAGGCAGCTCCATGTGGCTACTACAGAAAATTCAAACATGCACGAATGAGTCAAAGTCGTATGTTTTTGATGAGGGAATGACTTTATACCACAAAGCTCAAAAAAGTTGATTTTGCATAATACTCCCCTTTTAAAAGAAGAAAAGACTTGTGATTGCAATGATTTCCGTGGCATATTTTCTGTATTACATAAGATGTAGAATTAAAGAGGAATGCCACTCAGTTTTGGAGTGCATATTTTTATTTATTGTGTGTATGTAACAAATTACCTCAGTTCTAGTTATCCTTCTTAAATAAGGGACAGACAAAAAAAAGTATCCAGATAGCCTCTTTGTGATCCCAAAGTCTCTCATGTTTAGCTGTTACTGTTGGTTTTTAACCAGTAAAAATGAAAACACGCGTTCATAACAAAAATTACTTTGCTGCAACTTGGAAAGTAGTCATGCAAACTGTGCTTGTCATAGTAATAAAGCAAAAACACAATGATCAGACCAGCATGGAGAAGCTGTGTGCTCATCTTTTGTTTTGGTCCATATAGGTAGCCACTGCAATGTCGTGAAGACCAGTCGTGCGGGGGGGGGGACACTTTTTAATAAATGGGTAATGTGTCCTTAAATGAAAGAACTTATAAGCAGTATTTGTGAATGGCTGCAAATTAGCACATATTTGTCACCAAATGGCTAAAAACAGGTCAACACATCCATGGAAGAACTGTTTGAGATCAAGAGTTCTGACAGCTTCGATGTATTTGGTACATATTAGTGTTCAGATCTTTGAGTAAAGTATGCAGTTAAGTTTTTTGTTTACACTGAGTGTGTACCCTCATTTCAGAACTGTGTATCAATATATCTGGAAAACTACTGAAGTAAATTCTTGTAAACTGCAATATTTGGAAGTTCAAGATAACCCGTTTAATGTTTGATTTGCAATGAGTACCTTCATGATTTAACAACCAATGATTTTTAGAGAAATGTTTTGCTTCCATCTTTGTGATAACACCTTCCATACGTTGACATGTGCAAAGCAAAACCTGTTGTGTAAATTCCCTGATATTTTCATTGTCAGAACAGAGGTTTGACATGATACACATTTGTGTATGTGGAGCAAATATTGCATCAGTAATAGAGCTCAATATTATTTTGGCTCAAAAGTTGTAAATTCAAGCAGGAAAGCTTTAAGATGAAACGTATATATTTAAGTAATTTTATTACGTGCATGTACCTGCATTATTTTTGTCAATCAGTGGAAAACCATGTAGCAAGTGCCAAAAGCAACAAGTTAGAACTGCATATCCATGAGTTACTCACAGTTTTTTTTACCATTTTTTTTGCCTTTTTTAATAAATTTGTCATCATGTGAAATTGTATATTCTAAAATTGATTGCAAGCTTTATTAATTTCACTCGCAGTTCTGATTTTTACACTTCAAAAAGTCCTGTTTGCTTATTAACTTCTTCTTCGTCCCATCTTTTTTCCCAAATTTGATGCTATACAGCTTTTTACTGAAGCAAATTTATTTCAGATTTAAATTAATTTATTTTATTTCAGTAATGCATGCTTTACAATTAATCTACTGTAACTTCTTTTTGCACTTAATGGAGGCTTCATCAGGGGCGCCACCAAGTGGGGGCCAGGGGAAGCAATGGCCACCTTATGTTCAGTCCCTCCCCACACTGTTCCACCCACCACAGAGTCATGAAGTCAGCCTTTACATATGGGTTTTGGTTACACCTACCTGATAATGATACTTATAAATTGCTGATCTAATCTTAAGTACTTCCTAAAACACTTTTTAGTAATTTTAGTTACCTTACATTTTGCATCATACACTATATTTTTGTACAATGTTATCTACTTCTAAGAAAAACAGAAATCAAACAACTAAAAAAGTTTTCACATAAAGAAATTTATTTTATGGAATGTAGACATAGAATAGAATTAGAACATAGAATTAAATAAAAGTATATGGATTTATTCAGAATCCTTAGGTATGATCAATTAATTTTTCACATTACTGTGTGCCTCTGTTTTGTTTATGTACAAGCATTCACTTTTAATTAATTAGTTTTTGTCACTTTGCAGTTGTAGGCTACTGATTTTTTTTGAAGAGGAATGTTTTGTTGATTTTATTGTGACATTAATATATTCATTTGCACACCTTTTCCAATGAGCCACAATGGCTGTTTAAAAACAAAATAACTAATGAAACGTAAATTCATTTTAAACATTGCATAGATACTGTATAAAGGTTAATTTTACAATCTTTAGTTTAGAACATTGCCTTTGAATAGTTTTATTTTGGAAAAACATAACCGGATGTCCTACTTTTACGGTTTCCGGTAGACGGCGAGGAGGCGGAGCTGGAAGTATTCAGAGGAGGAAGAGGAGATGTCACCGTCGGCGGTACAGATAGATCAGTTCATAGCATCACTCAGTTCTGTTCAAAGAAAACTCGGATATATTTGTTAGCCACACTGTGCTTGGTATGTGTTAAAGATTCATTTAGTTTCCTTACACCTTTAATGAAAAGCGTTCTTTCTTTAAAACGTCGCTTCCTTTAAGCAGAAGTTTTCAGGTCGTGTTAATTACAGCAGCAGTTTGAACTCTACCGGTACAGTATGTAACAGGTTGACTTGCAGCTACAAATTCTGCTTTTTCGGAATTTAAATCAGGAAGGCGTGAATTTTTACGTTATTTTTACAAGATAGTGATAAAAAAGTATGCATTTAACTAAGCTGGTTAATAGATTTGACATACATATTGTATTTCTTGGTTTTTGTTCTATTTTTTAATTAATAAATACTTACCATAATTAAATAAACTTAGAGAAGGTAGAAAGACAGATCATTGAGAAATGACAAATACTTTGTTTTCTGTAATATCAACATTTTTGTTTGTTTATCATATGAATTATTTAACAGTTCTTTTATTCAGTTGAGCTATTATATAGCTATTAGTTATCATATCTAAGCTCATTGTGTTTATCTTCAGATTTGTTTAAATATTTTATGCTCAAAAGCCTGTTTGGGTATTTTAGATTTATTATTTTAATGTTTTTCTGACACATTAACATGTTTTACCAAATCTGCAGCAAAACAATCACTACTAAACAAATTGAACAGCTGTCAAATTCAACATATTGCTATTTTAAAAAAAACTGAGTTCATCATTTAACAACTGAACGCTGACTATTCTCTCGGTTCTGTTCTGGTCTTTCATTGCTTAGTGTTTAACATGTTGTAGCAGCGCTCCCAGTGACCAGAGCTCTCCGTCTCCAGACCAGCCGTGACAGGACAGCAGCACACAGATCAGGCCTGTTATGGCTGCCCGGCATCAGGGACCTGCAGCTGCTTCACACGGCTCAGCCGAGGCCAAAAAGACAGACCTGAGGACCAAAGAGAAGAAGTGCTGTGAGTGGATTTTTTCATTTTTATCTTTTCTGTGCGCTGAAACTGAAACATAAAATCAAACCTCTGACTTGTCCTTTATCAATGATTGACCTCTGAGCCCTAACCACTGTATTAATTAACACGTTGCTCGAACATTGAGCTGTGACATTCATATTGCTCACTCAGATCAGATCCTCTGTTTTGTAGGCCACAAATAACAAAAATTATTACTATTTGAACGAACATAGATTGTTAAATGTCATTTTAGTTGTGTGTGTGTGTAGTTTGTGTGTCTGGAAAGGCCCACTGCACTCCTGCTGAAGGGCTATAATACTGCAATAAGAATACAAATGTTTGGGATCTGACCTTTGTTTTAACTGAACACATGACGAGTTTTATTCTCCTAATAATTTATAATAACATTTCTCGGAAATGTAAGTTAGCTTCAAAATTCAACATGAAACTTTTTCTGGCAGCAGAGCTCCTCTTCTGAGAGTCAAGTCTGATCTCGCCAGGTCCTTGCTTGGATTCATTTACTGTTCCAAGAATCTGAAATGGAACGGAGAGACAAGAATCTGAATATTTTCCACTCCACGTTCAAGCCAACAATGTCAGAACAGAAGTAGGAGAGAAACTAATTAGAAGTGTAGACATGATAGTCATGTAATGAGCTTTAACAGCAAGCTGGATGTGTAGAGGTGACATTAGATTATTACATAACCTTCTCATACCTTGCTGTGTGTGTGTGTACTGTTTAAGTGTGTGCATGGTTGTTTATAAAACATACTTGTCTTCCTTCTGCACCTTTCAGCCTACAGAGGTCAGGACTGTCAAAAAATATATTTTATTTAAATGCTCATGATGCATCATTTCTTGTGTTTTTTTATGTGTGCAAACTGCAGCTTGGGCCTCGTACATGACCAATTCTCCCACCATGATAGTGATGATTGGGTTGCCCGCTCGAGGGAAAACCTACATGTCCAAGAAGCTGACACGTTACCTTAACTGGATCGGAGTGCCAACAAAGGGTTCGTATTCAGGAAACGTATGTTTGGTCTGATAACCAACAATTTTTTTGACCCATGCAAAGAAAATTATAAAAAGTTGGAGTCAATAAAAAGGACTTTATTTAGTCAGTAATGTGTTGACGTGCGTTCCTTCCCTGTCATTATTGCAACACTACTGAAAAGCATTACTCATGTTGAAATCCTGCACTTCTGACTGAAAAAAGTCTCAAATTGCAGCTCAGCTCTGTTCAGACCAGCAGCCCTCATCACACAGCTCTGTTTGCAGTTGTACCCTTTGTTGTTTCACTTTTAAGGAATGCAGGAAAACTGGCGTGGCAGACACAGCCGATGTGTGTCGGTCACCACGTCAGCAGAGCACAAACCTTTATCCTCTTCCCTGCTTTCTCCCTTCATTCTCCTGCAGTCTTTAATCTTGGCGAGTACCGGAGGGAAGCGGTGAAGTCGTACAAGTCCTACGATTTCTTCAGACACGACAACAAAGAAGCAATGAAAATTAGAAAGTAAGAACGACCGTCTTTGCATGAGCTCCTCGCGGCGCCTCAAGCCCTCCTTCCTGCAGAGATCAAGCAACAAGAGCTGGCTGCTTGAGCTCTGTGTAAAAGTCTTCTGCCTCCCTTTTTTATATTTTCATTCCAACAAAGCAAATTTAAGAATTAATCTTTTAAAAATTCTGGGCAAAATTCATTTTATTTTCTTTTAGTTGCTATCTGTTTTCATTCCTATGGAAGAGCATTGCATTCACCAAAAAAAATAAATAAAAAAAATTAGACACCTGATCTCATAATTACGAGAAAACAACTCATAATTATGAGATCCTGATCTCCTGTGGATTTTGAGCAGGTAACAGTCCTGGATGTGTATGTGTGTAATGCTGAATGCACGAGTGCCCAGAACAAGCTGTCTAATGTTCATTCACCAGAGTTTAAAAAAGTTGTGACCCAGGATAGAAACAGGAGAAAGTGTGTGCTCTTTGTGTGCATACAGGACGTAATTTAAGCATTTCATATGCATTATAGCCGTAGCATCCCGTACTGTAGGAAGAGAGCGACCTCCAGTATGTCAGAGTGGGCTTTTTGCTTGAACAAGTGCAAGGAATATGCCTGCGAAATGTCGACATACTATCATCCATACAGCATCCTACCATCTCTGTGATGTTTTGTTCGGACTGTATTGAATCAGACTTCTATTTTGAAATATCCAGTTGCTGAAACTGGTAGCACCGCTACCAGCTAACTGACGGTGTTATGTTTGTGCCGAAGCTGCTGAAGCTGAATTGAACAGAACACTCTAACTGGTGTGCAGATGTATTTATTAATAAAACCACATTAATAGACACAACACCATCCACATTAAGTAAACTCAAAATTTCATACCTAAGAGGAAATAAAAGCATATAAAATGTGATAGTACTGTCATTGTTTACTTTTCCTGTAATGTAAATCAGCTGACTCTCTTTAACTTATCTCGTAATTATGAGATCTTTTCTCGTAATTATGATTATCTCATAATTACAAGATCCTGATCGATGAGATCAGGGGTCCTAATTTTTTTTGGTGAATGCAGCTCTTCCGTACATTCCTGACCATTTTTTAAACGTTTGTTAGTTTGTAAAGTCACTTTAACACTGACTATAATGAGCCATTAAAGCAACAAATCTATGTTTTCGCTACAGATAATCACACCTTAGCAAAAAATCCCTTTAAAAGTGTACATTTGGCAGCCTGTTGAAACAAGACATACTATAGATTAGTTCAAGGTATTCAAGTAACTTCTACAACAACACCTAAGGCAAAGGTTTGACATGTACAATTTTAGTACCAACAGGTGATCCTCAAGGAGTTATTTGTAGACAACTTGACAAACATCACCTGAAGGAGAATTCATTGATCATGAAAACCTTTGATTTTTTTTCCCTAAAGGCATGACATTCAGGCACTGGTCATGTTTATTTTAACCTGACACTTCTTTTGTTATTTCCTTGTTCAGTTTCCTCAAATCTTTCAAGGAACACTGTACATTGTGTTGAAATTTCTCACATCCACTTCTATTATGTGCATGAGTGTCACATTAATTTAGGCTTTTAATGATTTGTTTGAATGTTCTTTTTTTACCAGATGGAATGTGTCTAAAACGTAAAACTTTAGTGGGTTTTATAAACAAGAATTGGGTGCCTAATATTGAATGTATTTTAGGTTTTCTCTATTCCACACAGGGTTTGTACCCATCAACATGTTTTATGTATTTCTGGTTGGCTGAATGGATCAGTCTTTTAAGCACAGTCCACATACAGTATATGGGAGTCTGTTTGTGATCAGAAGGTTGCAGTTTTCAGTTCCCAGATGAGCACAAAAAGAACTAGGGTGGGAAAAAATGAAGCACCCACATCTGCCTCCACCCTCACTTACCCCACTGAGCGAGACCCTTAATCCTCCAGCTGCCGGCCGGATGCCTTAGATGGGAGCCCTCTGCTCCACATGTGTGCTGACATGTGCAATGAGAAACATGCAGAGAATGATTTCCTTCATTATTGGTAAACAAAGTATAGTGATAAAAAATTAATTATAGTTGGACTGAAGTTGGTGATTTGAAAGACTAATTTAGAAGTATGTCTGTCACAACCAATTTTGCTGGATGACAAAGTGTCTCAGCAATTATTATGATAAACAGTAATATTGTTTGGAGACCATTTAAAGCTAATATTTTTTCCCTCCCTTACGAAACTTATGGAAGTTTATGAAATTTACGTACTTAATAAAGTTCAAACTGACCTGGACCTGCCTTTTGGAAAACAGCACACAACAGCAGCTGCTGAAGCTGTGAGTTCACTACCAACCTCTATCCAAGCCGGCACAGTTTAATTTGTGTCTTCCTCTGGCTTCATAAAATAATTGCAGTCACCCACAGGTTGTTTAAGAAGTTTACGGAAGTTTACAGAATTTACGCAGAGTGAATAAAAAACAACTCGGTGATGTCACAGTGCCCTGAGGGCATCCTGAGACGTCGCCAATTGAAAGAATGCGTCAGCGAACCGAAGACGCTCCTCTCACTAAATGCACTGTATATTCACAGGCTCTCATGGAACAGAGGTTGAGACCATGCGCCTGGCAAATACCTGATGCCAGAGTTCACTCCTCCCTACGCTAACGAGTAGAAAGGAGGGAGACATGAAAAAAAAATTATCATCCTTATTTGAATTTATCGGTCAAAGAATTGATTTTTTTCTCACCTCAACAGGCCTATTTGTTTTTATCCACTCAGAAACCAGTTCTGGTGTGTTTGGGCTGTGACTGAGTGCCTTTAATGAGAGAGCTGGGGGTTTGATTCCACAACTATTCAGTCATATTTCGAAGTGTCCTTGGGCAAGACACTGAACCCCCTCTGCCCCTGGTGTCTCATAGGTGTGAAGAAAATTATTGGGGTTTGTTTACTTACTGATTTTTAAAAGCACCACACATCCTGTAGTTTTTCTTAGATGAACCATGATACATTTTTATAACCTATTGTGTGATTAGTTTTGTGATTAAATTGATGATTTTATGTACAGTCTGGTCTGGTTGGCTATAAAATATGGTTACACAGGGCAGGAAGTACATTTAGTGGATACGTGCCTGAACATACTGACAACACTTAATCAGACCGCTGTTTTAACATTAGATGCTGGAAAAGTGTCTGGAGGCTTCACCCCTCAGGGTGCCCATGAGTGATATCATCGCAAAGGCGGGGTCAGGTCTTGAAGAAAGTGCTATATTGAACACTTCCTGAATGCTTTGCTGAATGCATGGAGAGAAAAGCATTAAACATGCATTTCAGCCCAGCGCTGGTGTGGTTGTATGAACTCTTTTCACATTCAAACATTCAAACATTGGTGTACTTTCTTTCTGATTATGAACACGTAATGAAGTAAACAAACAGGTTTAAATGTCATTTCAAGTGTACGAATCTAAAGCACTGATTAGTCTCTATGGACTGATTTATCCTGATTATGCTTGAATGAGTGTGCGTGTAAATGAGGTCACAGGTTGTAGAAAGGGGCTACATAAGTACAGTCCATTTACAGTCCTGTTGGAACACCCAGCTGTGTCCAAGTCTCAGCTATCTAGCTGCTGATTTGAGGTGAAGTTGAAGAATTTAGAGATACATTTTTTATTCATTATTCTGTCCAGCTTGTGCGCTGTATCAGTACCACAGCATGATGCTACCACCACCATGCTCGACAGTTGGTACAATGCTTTTAGATTTAAAAGCTTCACCTTGATGACTCCAAACATACTTTTTTATCACTGTGTCCAAATCTTTGTCCCATATGACAATAAAACGTTATTCCAGGAGGCCTTTAGTTTCTCCATGTGGGCTGCTGCAAATTTCCATCAGGTTTTTGAAGCAGAAGAGGTCAGAGGTCAGTCCACCTGCATGTATATGTACAACCCCTGGAAAAAAGTATGGAATCACCAGTCTTGGATGAGCACTCATTCAGACATTTCATTCTGTAAAACAAACTCAGATCAAAAACATGATAAAAAGGTCATTCCAAAGTCCAACTTGTTGGCTTTCAGGAACAATCAAAGAAATTAAGAGAAAACATTGTGGAAGTCAGAATGTTACTTTTATTGACCAAGCACAAAGAAAAAAATATGGAATCACTCAATTCTGAGGAAAAAAGTATGGAATCACTCAATTCTGAGGAAAAAAGTATGGAATCACTCAATTCTGAGGAAAAAAGTATGGAATTACTCAAATTGGAGGTAGAAAATAAGGACACACCAAGTCAATTTCCTTTCCCTAAATGGACACCTGCCTCAGATTAGATCTGCTCGTTGGTCTGCAGTTAAAAACACCTGCAGTCATGACACCTTGGAGGGCTGCTGGACGAAGTGGAGTGGCAAGAACCATGGCTCCAACAAGAGAAATGTCTCTTGAAACAAAAGAGAGGATTGTGAAACTTCTTGAAGAAGGTAATTCTTCATGCATGGTTGCTAAAGATGTGGGCTGTTCACAGTCAGCTGTATCCAAGATATGGACCAAATACAAACAGCATGGAATGGTTGTTAAAGCCAAGCATACTGATAGACCAAGAAAGACATCAAAGCGTCAAGACAAACAACTTAAGGCCATTTGTCTTGAAAACTGAAAAAGTACAACTAAACAGATGAAGCATAAATGGGAGGAAGCTGGAGCCAATGTATATGACTGAACCGTAAGAAATCGCCTAAAGGAAATGGGATTTCAATACAGGAAAGCTAAAAGAAAACCATCACTGACACCTAAAAAAAAAAAAAAGAACAAGACTACAATGGGCTAAGGAGAGGAAATCATGGACTGTGGATGACTGGATGAAAGTTATCTTCAGTGATGAGTCAAGAATCTGCAATGGACAAGGTGATGATGCTGGAGCTTTTGTTTGGTGCCGTTCCAGTGAGATTTATGAAGAGGACTGCCTGAAGAAAACAACCAAATTTCCACAGTCCTTGATGATATGGGGCTGCATGTCAGGCAAAGGCACTGGGGAGATGACTGTGGTTAATTCTTCTATCAATGAACAAGTTTACATTGATATTTTGGACAGTTTTCTCATCCCTTCAATTGAACAGATGTTTAGAGGTGATGAAATAATTTTCCAAGATGACAATGCATTGTGCCATAGGGCAAAAACAGTGAAGGCATTCCTCGGAGAAAGACACTTTCAGTCGATGTCATGGCCTGCAAATAGTCCAGATCTCAACCCAATTGAAAACCTGTGGTGGAAATTGGGGAAAAAAATGGTCCACAAGAAGCTCCAACCTGTAAAGCTGATCTGGCAACTGCTTTCAAAGAGAGTTGGCACCAAATTAATGAAGAATTCTGTTTGTCACTTGATGAGTGACATGCCTCAGAGACTGCAATCAATTATAAAAGCCAAAGGTTGTGCAACTAAATACTAGTGATGTATTTTGAATGGTCTTTTGTTGATTTGTTTTTCATGATTCCATACTTTTTTCCTCAGAATTCAGTGATTCCATATTTTTTTCTCTGTGCTTGGTCAATAAAAGTAACATTCACTGATTTCCACAATGTTTTCTCTTCATTTCTTTGAGTGTTCCTGAAAGCCAACAAGTTGCACTTTGGAATGACCTTATTATTGTATCATGTTTTTGATCTGAATTTGTTTTACAGAATGAAATGTCTGAATGAGTGCTCATCCAAGACTGGTGATTCCATACTTTTTGCCAGGGTTGTATGTATATGTTTGAGCCTAAACAGATCATTTTAACGCTGTGTGTATTCAAGAAAACCCACAGTAAATTTAAAATTGTTCTTCCGATTCTTGTTTTAAAAGTAATAAAAGTTGCATGTTGTACAATCATTTCTCCTTGAATAAAAAGAGATGTTTAAATAAATCAATAAAAGCTTTAAATTAATCTGACGCTCATGCCAGTGATGAATATGTGTAAACTACTGACTGCAACTGTATGTGAGGTGCAAGAAGTGGAATAAAAATCAGTGTAAAAGTAACCAAAATAAAATAAACAAATACTTGAAAATCCTTAAGTTATCCTGGAGAATGCTTGGAGAACCAATTTAAAAGGTTATAGAAATGTCTGGCTGCTTTCAAATATAACTTAGAAATAAAAGGGATCCCTGATGCAACCATAAAAGCACCAGAAAAGTAACGTACTTGTATTTTGTGCTGTACCAAACGATTATTTTCTAATCGATTAATCTAACGATTATTTTTTCGATTAATTGATTATTCTAACAACAAATCTATAAGTTATTCTGATGTGAGTGCACTGGAAATTTAA